CTTTATGGCCCCCACACATAAGAATACCTTGTTGGGTTTAACCAATTGGTTAGACTATGCTTTAAATGTTTAAAAGTTGTCATAATAATTGAAATAATAATCATAATAACTTTTTTGTGTATCTATACAAGCAGTACTTGATTTACAACGGTTGGGACCAGAATTTTTGTTGCTAAGCAAGGCAATGGTTAAGTAAGTTGTGTCTGATTTTTTGCCCTGGTTGTTAAACAAATCACTGCAGTTTTTAAGTGAATTATGCAGTAATTAAGCAAATCCACCTTCTCTCATTGACTTTGTCAGAAGCCAGCTGGGAAGATCATAAATGGCAATCACATGATCCCAGGAGCTGCAACCATAGTAAATACATGCCAAGTCATGTGACTATGGGGACGTGACTGGGGATGCTACAATAGTCATAAATGTGAAGACTGGTCATAAATCACTTTTTTCTCTGCCATTGTAATGTTGAATGATTTTAAATGAATGATTATACGTCAAGGACTATCTGTAATTATTTTATACTACATTTACATATATTATATTTATAATATCTACAATGACCTACCCCTTTAAAAGAACCAAATCAAGCCACCATTGCAAAAGATATTATCTGAGCAATGATATTAGTCCCAGGATACACATTAATCACACCCTGCAACAAGAAATTTATTTTTATTTTTTATTATACTGTTATTTTTTCCATCCTCTCTGAAAGGGTGAAAAAAAGTCCAGAACATTTTCATTGGCTTAGAGAAGTGATTTTCTTTTATTTGCAGATGAGTCTAATACAGGGGTTCTCAACCTTGGCAACTTTAAGACTTGTGGATTTCAACTCCCAGAATTCCTCAGCCAGCTTTGCTTAAAGTCTTAAAGTTGCCAAGATTGAGAACCTCTGGTCTAATACAAGGAGAAATGCACTCCTTGTGCCTTCTATATAAATTAAAGGTAAGGAACAAAAATAAATTGTGCTCCTTTACATTTGCTCTTTCTTCCTTTTTCATTATAAAATATAACTGATATAACTTGCTTAACCAATTAGTGGGCTTATAAATCTGTCATTTATACCTTAAATTGGACTACAATTTTCATCATGATTTGTCATGATGGATGCTGTAATTGAAAAACTCTTGAGAGCAGATTAGAAACAGTATACTGTATAAAACAAACTTTATGGAATCTAGTTTAGCTAAGGGATGCAATTTTTTTCTGGGCCAGTGGTTCTACTTGGCTCTTAATGGTGTCAAAGTTTCATTCTAAAACTGCCCTGAATGGGATCAGAATAAAAGCTAATTGTAATTTTATTATATCCTATTCAAATTGAACCAAAAGTAAATGCAATTGAAATGATTGCTTTGCCATCATGTAAATTACATTTTCTACCACTTGGAAATGTGCACTTGATTAAAAGCTTTTGGAAGTTTGGGGGGTGTGCTCACTCAATGCATGTGAACCTGGGATTTTAGGATGTGCACATTTGGAGAGCTCCTTTAAGCATATCTGAGCTACTCTGTATGGAATTCAGCAGAGCAGCTTTATGTATTTTGGAGTCTGAGGCAAACAGCCAGCCACATGCAAAAGCTGGCAGAGCTGTTCAAAGTCTTCCTTACACAGGAGACAACAGCTTTGTTCAGAAAACTCAAGAACATTTGGAGGAAGCCTGGCCAACTTTGCTCCTACTCATCCAAACTATTTGGCTTGAAAATGATTGGGCTAACCCTGCATTTGTTAAAATAAATACTTTATTGCTACATCAGGATAAAAAAGGAAACCAGGAAATAAAATGATTGATGGTTGATTACATGCCATCAAGCTGGTGTTGATTCTTAGCAAGTGTAGAACAGGGGTTCCCAACCGGGGGTGAGAGATGATATTTCAGGGGATGCGAAAATTTGGGTTTAGAAGTTTAACAACAACAATAACAACAACAACAACAACAACAATAATAATAATAATAATAATAATAATAATAATAATAATAATAATAATAATAAAGTTGGGACCTTGGAGGTCTTCTAGTCCAACTTCCTGCTCAGGCAGGAACCCCTATACCATTTCAGACAAATTGCTGTCCAGTCTCTTCTTAAAAACTTCCAGTGTTGGAGCATTCACCGCTTCTGGAGGCTGGTTGTTCTATGATTAATTGTTCTGTCAGAAAATTTCTCCTTAGTTCTAAGAACTTCTCTCTTTTGTTAATTTCCATCCATTGCTGCTTGCCCTGCCTTTAGGTGCTTTGGAGAATAGCTTCACTCCTTCCTTGTGGCAGCCCCTGAGATATTAGAACACTGCTATTATGTCCCCACTCGTCCTTCTCTTCATTAAACTAGACATAACCAATTCCAGCAACCATTCCTTATATGTTTTAGTCTCCAGTCCCCTAATCATCTTTGTTGCTCTTCTCTGTACTCTTTCTAGAGTCTCGACATCTTTTTTTACATCGTGGTGATCAAAACTGGATGCAGTATTCCAAGTGTGGCCTTTCCAAGGCATTGTAAAGTGGTATTAATACTTCACGTTGTAAGGTTTTCCACTTAACCTCACAATTGCCCCAGCATTACTCAGGAATTTAAAAGAGCCAAGGAAATTCCTGAGCTGAGGTTTCAGCTTTTGATCAAAATAGAGTTGGGTGACTCCATCTCTCTTCGTGGCTGGTAGAGAGATGAAGGCAACAACCAGAAAAGATGTCTTCCACCTTTTATAACTTTTCAGAACAAAGAGATCAGGTCTTGGTACTAGGCATAAGATGGCACAAAAAAATAATTCCTAGATGATGACTCATACACAGCAACCCAGGCTCCATCCGTAACTCCTTTCCCCCTCCCCTTACTGTACTCTTTTCATATAAGCAATCACCTATACCTAAAGCATGAAGCCCTTACTTTTCCAATATATATATAAAGTATCTGATCAAGCAATTAACTACAAAATAATGATTACAAAATAACAAAACAATGATTACATGATAACACTATAAGTATCAATATAAAATGGTCACTATATATAAAATTAATGCTAATGTCAAATTTAAACATACTAAAATCATAAGCACAATAAAATCCCTTCAACGTGATCTTGATTCTATCCCTCTGTTAATGCAGCCTAGCACTGTGTTGGCCTTTTTGGCAACTGCAGCACACTGCTGGCTCATATTTAAGTGATTGTCCATTAGGACTTCAAGGTCCCTCTCACAGTTACTGCTATTGAGCAAGGTACCCCCTACACTATATCTGTACATTTGGTTTTTCTTGCCTAAATGTAGAACCTTACTTTTTTCACCATTGAATTTCATTTTGTTAGATAGCCCCCAGTGTTCAAGTCTGTCCAGATCCTCCTGTATCTTAAGCCTGTCTTCTGGAGTGTTGGCTATTCCTGCCAGCTTGGTGTCGTCTGCAAATTTGATGAGTTCCTCATCTATCCCCTCATCCAAATCATTGATGAAGATGTTGAAGAGCACTGGGCCCAGAACAGAGCCCTTGGGCACGCCACTACACACTTCCCTCCATATAGATGCAGTTCCATTGAGGACCACACAATAAATATGGCCAGTCAGCCAGCTACAAATCCATCTGGTGGTGATGCTGTCTAACCCACATTTTTCTATTATCAAGTAGTAGGTTGTGGTCTACTTTGTCAAATGCCTTACTGGAGCCCAAGTAAATTATATCCACAGCAGTCCTCTGGTCCACTACTTTTGTCACCTGGTCAAAGAATGCAATAAGATTTGTCTGGAAGAATTTGTTTTTGACAAACCCATGTTGGCTTTTGGTAATGACTTTGTTTGCCTCTGGGTGTTCGTTGATTCTTTTCCAAAATCTTCCCAAGTTAGGCTGATAGGTCTGTAGTTTCCTGAATCGATTTTTTTTTCCTTTTTGAAGATGGGAACTACTTCAGCTCTTTTCCAGTCCCCAGTGCTCCAGAATTTTTGAAAGATATAGTTCAGTTGTTCTGAGATCACATCTGCCAGTTCCTTCAGAACCTTGGGGTGTAATCCATCTAGTCTTGGTGATTTGAATTCATCTTCGGTGAACAGGTGCTCACTTACCATTTTCTTGCCTATCTTAACATGTTTCTAATCTGTTTTTTACAGTATTGTTTTTAATAGATTGGACTGTTTTTTTCCTTTGTGTAAATACGGATGCAAAAAATGAGTTGAGTAGTTCTGCTTTCTCCCTGTTGCTTAGTGTATATGTATAACCAGATATTACTTTTGTAAGGGGTGTAAGAATATATCAGAAGCGTTCTAGGGGTGCAGGATATAGAAAAGGTTGGGAACTGCTGGTGTAGAGATGTTCTTCATGATGATGTGCGCCTAACCTGCTCCTTCAGATCTTACATCAATTGGTACTGTAACTGTGTCCATCCACTCTGCTACTTGTTGTCCTTCTCTTTCTTTCCACCTTTTCCATCCACATTAGAGCCTTTTTCAGAGAGACACGTCTTGACGTAATGTGTCTGAAATGTGACAATATGATCTTGGTCATTTGTAAACTCGAGTGTAATCTCTAGATTGATTTACTCAATGATCTTTTTATCCTGCTTTTTCTTCAAAGGAACCAAATACAGTAACGATAAACGACAAGACGGGGAAAAAAAAGAACCAGAAAGTAACGAACACGTTGAGGGGGAAAATAAAAAAAACATATGACGTTAATACATACTAAAATAAAAGCATATGACGACAACCAGGACTTTTGTCCAAACCTCCCCCTACTTATTAAAGGCTCATCTCACTATTGTACCAAACGCCATTTTATCCCCCAGACAGAGGGTGGAAGAGAAAAACACCCTCTAACTGAAACTACAACTCCCTTAATTATTGCCCTTGCCCTATTCTTTATCGCGCCGATCAGACTTAGAACTACAATTCCCATGATCCAATGCAATGAGGCTGGCAGGACCGGTTGGCAGGGGTGACCTTAGTGCCTGAATGGAAGGGCGATGAACTACCCGGTAGACGGCGTTTGATATAGACAACCCTGTAGGCGCACGAGGACCCCATTCTCTTTCTCCATTTGGTTGTTCCTCCGATCGACCGGCCCAACTGTCAGTCAAGTAGTCGGGCTGCGCGACAAGGGAGGTGGCGGCGGTGGTTACCGCCTCAGGCAGGGAGACCAACCCGCTAACTGCAGAGTGGAGGGATCGGCGAGCGAGGAAGAGGAGGAGGCAGGCAGGCAGGCAGGCAGGCAGACGCCTATCTTTCAGCTGTGCGATGGACCGGTACTACCTCCGCCATTAAAGTCAGAAGGGCAGGGGGACCGAAAGATTTCTTCCCTCCCTTAAGAAAATTAGGGATTGTTATCGGTTTCTCTTTGATTCGTCCTCGCCGTCAGGACGTTTAATTCAGGACGTTTAATTCACCCGGTGGGGGATATCTCCTCTCTTTCCCCTGACTGAGCAGAGACAGGTATAAAAAACCTGCCCATTCACTCCCTTGGCCCCGCCGGGGAGGCACAGACTTGCCCCTCCTCCTATTGCAGACGAGCTGATAGGCACCCCCCCCCCCGCCCCGCGATTCATTGGGGAGGAATCGGGAAAGCGGCTAAACTCCGGGCTGAGCCATGCGCCCAACCTCTCCACGGAGACAGACGAAGGGTCGCCCTCCCCTCTGAAAAAGACCGACCGCCGGCCTTGAAGAGGCGCCCGTTTTCCTTTCTCCGCGCCCCGCCATCCTCTCCTCACGATGCCGCTGCCCCGCTGTAGCTGAGAGCCCAGGGCGAAGAGAGGACGAGGCTCCGGGATTGGGGGGGGGCACCATGGAGCGCCGAGGGGAGCCTGCTTTCCACCTCCAGCAAAATCTGGAATTCAACGTGGAGAACGTGGAGAAGGTGAGAGCGGTGTTGCCAGGTTGGGGATCAGCGGCTGATTCCACCTGCTGGGTGCGGTTTGGGGTGCTGTGCCCCTCGGGTGGAGTGGAGGAGAGTTTCCGATTCTCCCCTGGGCTTTCTGCCACAAGCGGTTTTTTTTCTCCAGTTACTGTGGACATGCCCTTCTCCTAGTCAGCAGGCCAGCTGCTCCATCTTCATCTTCTTCAGAACAACTTACTGGTTCCTGGCATGGTCTTCTTCTTCTGCATTTTCTTTACAGCAGCGTGACCCCTAAAATCCACTGGGCCATTCCACTTTGAATAAGTGATTGTCTTGATTCTTTTGTTAGAATATTCGAGCCTTCCCATTTATCACTTCCCAATAAGTGATTTTAGGATGAATCTGACAGGGAAAGGAAATTACTCTGTTGCTGCTGCTGCTGCCTTAGAGAAGTGATGCTTTGTCCTGTTTATATTCCTAGAAGATAGCCTGTCCACTCCTTCAAGCCCAGCATATGTCAGCAAACTCTTTGTTCTTCAAGAGTTTCAGGGATACAATTCCTCTGGTTGTAGAAAACACAGCTATTTAGAAAGATTTAGAAATTTGGGAGGTAAACATTTTTCTGATAGAAAAAAATAGGCAGGGTTCTTTTGTTGCTGCTTTATCTTTCTTGTATGGTATTACCTGTATCTGTCACATGCATTTTTTCCTAAGTCACAGCAGTCATTTCTCTAGTAGTGAAGTATGATGCTGGTTTGATAACATCAACTTGAACCTGGGTGTGTCTGTCACTTTGGTTCGGGGCAGTAACTGATACATTTGACAAGTTCCTATGGATGCTTTTTTCTGTATTTATCATTCACTGTGCTTTGTTTACATTAAAACTATTGATAATTGAATTTATTGAGGTTATACTTTGAAAGTCATAATATCAAAAAATATTGGCCTTAAAACTGCAGTTTATTTTTATATGTGAAACTCATGTGGCTAGTTGTGGTAACTGAAATAAAGGAAGCACTGCAGCATGATTTCTTCAAGAGAACAGAAAGATTTGATAAAAGACCCAAACATTACATTTATCTATACTCTGTTATATCTCTGAAAGATCCTATTTTTGCTCTGTACATTACTACCAGTCATGTTAGAGTGGAGAGAGCATGGCTTCTCTTCAGTAATTTGAAGTTACTCATTAGTAGATGGTAAAAGTGTAGACAATTCTACACTATTTGATCTTTCTGAAAGGCAGTTTCATGATTCCTGATTTAGTAAAAACTACAGGTAGTCCTTGACTTATAACCGTTCATTTAGTGACCACTCAAAATTACAGTGAAAAAAGTGACCTATGACTGGTTTTCACACTTATGACCATTACAGCATCCTGTGGTCGTGTAATCAAAATTTGGATACCTGTGCAATTGGTTCTATTTATGATGGTTGCAGTGTCTTGGGTCATGTGATCCCCTTTTGTGATCTTTTGACAAGCAAAGTCAATGGGGGAAGCCAGATTCACTTAACAACCCTGTTATTAATTTAACAACTGCAGTGATTCACTTAACAACTGTGGCAAGAAAGGTCATATAATAGGGCAAAATTCACTTAAATTTTCAGCAACAGAAATTTTGGGCTCAATGGTAAGTTGAGGATTACCTGTATATAGTGTCACTGTTAAACAGATTAATCCGGAGTGACTGCCATCTTATTTCTAATATGATGTTCTTATCTACATTTCTCTGTGATGCTGTTCTTGAAACAAATCTAATTTTATAAAAGCATAATTGTAATTAATATTTTATTGATTTTCCAAATGTTCAGAAAAATAATCCTGTAAGGCAGACTTTCCCTAGAATGGCTTATTTAAAATGACCTACTGAATTCATGATTGAAGTGAAATTGACCGAGGAACCCATTCTAATCAAAACTAATTATTATACCACTTAATTAGTTTTTTTAATAGCATCTGAGTGAAAATAGATCCCAGATACCATATGCTGCGATGACTAGGTTATAAAATGAATATTAAGAAGAAAGTGGAGAAGAAGTATTGTAGAATTGATAGTAGGATATACTTAAGGCCCATCACAACTTGTGAAACAATACAGTATATGAAGAGATAATAGATGAAATTTACCAAAGATATGTTGCCCTAATTAGTTTTCTTCAGCTTACCTAAAGAATGACAGGAATTATATAGTTCTGCAAAACTAGAAGATATCAGATTGATGAAGGTTAATTTTTACAATTCTCTGTCTGCCAAAGAACCTGAAATGGAAATGGAAATGCCTATTTATCAACAATTAAATTCTGTGTTTATAAATATTATCAGGCTGATATCCTTTCTGTGATTATGCTCCAAGTAGCAAAGGATAGGAATAGGGACTAATAAAAACATGGCATTGAATGGATATAGAATTAAAATGAGAATCTCAGTCTTTGAATTATAAAACAAATTCCTAGGCTTTATGACTGTCATAAATATAGAATTATTAATGATTGTTAATATCTGAATTGAAGTGGAGATGGGGTGCTTTAATACATTTCTGAGGGCTCAAGAAACATCCTTTCCCCATATATAGGGCAAGCTAAATAATGTATAGTTTGCAAAGTTGAGGTACAGTTTTCTTTTTTTAAAAAAAAAATCAGGATGCACACTGAAGACTTACTCTAAGGTTAAATGCAGATAAATAAAATGCAGGTGGAAATTGGGCTTTCATTTAAAGAAAACCCATTTCATGTCTTTGTTAGCTTTGAAAAATATTCTGCATTCTACCTGAACAATGTAGGCAGATTTAATTCGAGCAACTTTGATCTATCTGCCTTTAATAGTCATTGTATTCCCAGCAGCATTAAACTAGCTACTCCCTGTTGTACAATACTCTGAATTGTTTTATTGTGTTGTTCAGGCCTTAGAAGCTCACTAGTAGGATTCTTTTATTCATTTTGTTTTCAAGCAATACCCAAGTATTGTCTTTTCACCAAATTACAAAATGAAGTTAGAAACACCTAGTTTGATTCCCTTTTGATTTTGATAGGGATATGATCAGATGACAGATGCCTAGCTTGAACCTTGAAACTTATTACTTCATTTGCACAGGGCATATAAATTAAAGATTCTGGCATTCTGCAAGATTACGTGGTAGGCAGTACCGGCTTCCGTGGCCTAATCTGCTCCTGGGTAATGCTGCTTCATCATTTCCCCTGGAGAGAAGGCATAGGCAGTTCTTTTGTGTGCATTGACAATACAACAAATGTTGACATCAGGAAAGGTCAGGACACTCCAGGGGATGATTAGCCCTATAAGTGGTGGGGGAAGTGGATATGTAGAAGTTACAGTCGTGGGGTATTCCAGAATACCTTCTGTCCTAGCTTGAAGTGGCCACAGCAATCTCTGAAACCTTTTGGTTCCTCCCACATTCCCTCCTCCCAGTTCTGTCTCAAAGGGTTTTTGCTTTACTGTCTGGTATTGCCTAGTGTCAAGCTTTCCTCTGAAACACAGCTTGCACTATAAGGGAAACAGTTGGGTAACCAGCTGTGGAAAAATGTGAGTCCTTTCTGCAGGGAACTATGAGATATATAGTAGGCTGAATTCAATGCCCAGTTTATACTTCAGAGAGCATTAGGGAATTGGGGTCAAGATACAAGTCTTCCTAGCAAATCCTGCTGAATTTGCCATTTGTCTGCTTTCAACTTGAGTCTTCCTTGCTGTATGCAGAAAGTGATGCTCTGTGAGAATAGTTTCAGATGCCTTAAGAGGCTTTTTTTCTTCGGTTCTTTGTGGGTATTCTTGTAATTTTGTTTCAACATGAATCTAGGGCTTCTAGCATAGAAAGTGTTGCAGTTTGGGAAATTTAACCAGTTGAGACCACATTTGCCTTGAGATGTTAGAATAGGGCTAACTAGATTTTGAACTAGCTTCTCATTTTTGTTTTCACTGTATTAAATATTTAGACTAATTAAGTTCAAGTAATAGGATGGAAGAAATGCCACTAAAAAGACACGCCTTTATTTTAACAATGTCTATATTTGATGTTGGTAAATAATATTTTGGTTCATTTATTATTATTTGAATTATAGTTGTCTTCTGGCTGAGAGGGCAGCATTGTATATTGGACATAGAGCAGATTTAGGTGAAAGAAGTAATTCAATAGATTTACTAACTTGCACTTGTTAGGGAAAATTTCAGGGAAGGATCACCCAACAGTGATACAATTTATAACATTATAGCTGCAATTTCAGTATATAAGGACATTTAATGTGTACGTTAGAAATGTGAACAACATGAATGGACATTTTCTCATGCTTGGTGGATGTCTAAAAAAGCTTTAAAAATGAATTCAAAATACATATTTTTGTACAGATGATTTTAAAGATTAATATTTAATTGAAGCCAAAACTTTTCCATTTAGGATTGATGGATAATTAATTATAAAAAAAGATGGAAGATTATTTCAATATGATTACTGTGGTGAGATTAATATATGTACAAAGATGGAAAGACTTGGCACTCCCTACCATGAAGGAATGGTTGGTAAAATTGACAAAATTTACTGAGGTGGACAAACTGACTTATTTGATGAGAGAAAAGACAATATTACATTTGATTTATGGTTTGATGATTGGAGTAGATAGCTTATAAAAAGAAGAGAGTCATAATGTAACTTTAGAGAGAAAGGTTAAGATATATTGTACTTATAACTGCTATGAAGAATATTTTTACTATTTCTATTCTCTTATTGCACTTTTAACTTTTTCTGTTATTTCTTTTTCTATATTTATATGACATCAGAGCTTCAATTTCAGTACATATTGTTCAGTATGCCTGAACAATACTCAGAACATCTTATTCCCCTATTTCATTAAAATTGGAAGCAATCCATCCCTGTAACTACTGTATAGGCCAAGCATGTCTTAAGATGCAGAAATAAATTATTTCATAAACATATTAGATGGTAATGTAAGGAACACATTCATTAAGCTTTGTATTGATCCCGTTTTATAAGCTGAACATAGTTAATTTTCTTGCA